AAATCTTCATTCTGTTTTCTTTGAGTGATATTGATTTGCACTTACAGATCCTTCCATTTTCAATGTAACTTTCAATCAATTCTGCGAGTTTCTTTCATTTATGATCCATCAATTTTGAGAAATATTCCCACATAATTTTGATTCATTTTCACTTTTTTAAACTTCGACATTGTCAAATGTCACTTGGTCACATGTCCACTCGTGGTCAAATATCATTTATCAAACCTTCCTATCCATCGAGGTTTCCAATCAATTGCGTTGTTCATCTGCGTTCATTTCGATGATTTTCATCGAGCGATTGTAGATTTCTGTGAACGGATATATCGGATTTGCACACATACTCAATCAAGGTCCAGTACTGAACGTTGGTGTTGAGAACACAGATTGGCCAAGACAACCAGATCCAGCGATGATCGCACCTTGGCTTTGTAAACAACAAGTGATGTTGAACTTACTTGCAGTCTGAAATGCACCTGTCCATTCAATTTTGACTACTTCCCTGAAACTTTCAATGAATGCTAACGAATGCGACTAATTTTATTTTTTCACTGTATGCTCATGAAACACTGTCTCATCAGCTTCCCTGTGGAAAATTCGAGTTCATATTAATGTGCTGCTTTAGATTACCCAAGATCCGCAGCCTGGCCTACGAACTGGTGTGTTCTTCAGGCTGGTCTTAAGGCAGTCACTTTTTGGTAGACGTCGAAATGAGTTCTTCAATGTTGCCAGCTCACCAACATCTTCATTTTTCAATCAGCCTGCGAATTTGGTTCGTTGTTTTGTCGTTGCTAGAGATTTCACGAATGTTTTTAGTTATGTAGAAAGATGAATTCGAGAAGTTAGTGCTTTTATGAAGATAAATTAGATATGAAATAAAGCATTCAGTCAATTACTCCCTCATGTTCAAGATCAATTTGAACACTTCCGAGTGTGTCAAGTACCAAGAAGATGCACATGAATGACCAGAAATAATTCCAGGCCTGTCCAGGAACGCCGGATTCGTATATTCAGTGTAATCCACAAAGTGATATGTTTCTGGAACAGATGATGCAGTGGCTTCAAGGTGACGAATAGTTCAACTGGATACTGCCTGTGAACTTCACTTATTTCAGTATTCCATTGAGATAAACTTGATTAATCCAATGCGCTGAAGTGAAGAAGTGCTTCTGCCTGGATGATCATCAGTTCTTATTGAATATTCTCATTTTGGACCTTGATTTGGACATTTTGGCAAATTTCGGCGAATTCATCATTTGTCTGATGATGGAAATTCCGATGAACGGATGTCTTAGCGAATGATCGGATTCAAATTTTTTAGAAGGGGTTGCTGGGGCAGTTGCATTCAGAGCGGATGCAGCGTTGGTGGTAACATGGTTGAATACCGCATCTGGGGTATCGGGTCGTTCGGATGTCGGAAGGGGACAGTTGGCAACTTATCAGGCGATTTGGTTGACTGATCAGGTATCATGAATACTATTTTTGGATAACGCAGTATTTTACAGGACATACAGTTTGAGCAATGAGCATCAGTTTGCTATGCGAAAGAACTGATCTTTAGTGACGTAAAAACTGATCCATATATGAAGAATGCACCTCATTAACTAATTGTAAATTAATGTGTGAACTCACACACATCACATCAAATCCATATCTGCAACTATTCATCATCAATTTGCCGTTTGGCTCATTGCTTCAAGATGAAAGAAATCCCTTGAGTCAACCATATTCAACTCGGCGAACTTTCAGGCAGCGAAACTGAGTTACGTGATTCTGAATTATGACAAACTCGGATTTGATGCTGATGATTTTCGATTCAATTCACGAAATGGTCGTTGCCAGGTGAAATTTATTCTTTTTACGAACATTGCAGTGCGCATTTCTCATGCGTTCATTTTATTTAAATCATTACATGTTCACGATTTGCCATTAACATTCAATAAACCATTCAGGCACTTTTCAATGGTGGCAATCACACAGGAACAGTACCAGTCGATCCAACAATTCCATATAAACATTCACCAAAGATATTAGCACAACGATCCGGTGTACCGCATATGGGTCGTGGTCGCTATATGTTTCGCGTCGATGACGTTGTGAGACCGGGAGGTTGCTCGAACAAAACGTCTGGAACGTGTACGTTGCATTGCGTGAATACAAAGAATGCAAAGAACAACTGCGAGAAAACTGAAAGCTGATTGCAGATCCGATGCTGATCTATCCAAATATCGTGAACATGCTTGGAGAAACGACAGTGGACATCAACGCGCTTTGCTTGGATCGTTCACAAACGTATATTCTCATGATTGAGCAACGTGAGACCGCAACGTGCACAGTATTGAATTCAGCGATTGCTCGATGCTTTTTGCCGAGAGTGTTCGATTGGGGCACAAAGACGGTCTATTTTCAGACGCAACAAGGCAATTTAAACGCACAAGAACAGAAGGCCTTTGTGGGCTATATTTACTTTGGTGAGAGTCATTTTCATTGCCGTGCGCAATGTGCCTTGGAATAATGCAAACTGAAATTGTTGATACGAATGTTCTTGCAAACACTTTTTTTTATTTCTTATCCTCTTTCATCGACTTGAACTACTACACTTACTGGCTTTCGAAATCAGACGGGAAATTTTCCTGCAAACGGTATTGATTATTTCTGATTCAAAGTCACCACGGAGATCATCTGTTGTGGATAGATCAGTGAGAAAGTGAGCAATTGGTTGTCGTTTGCTTAATTCTTGAGAACGGCTTAAAGATAAACGAATTCGCCATGAATGAATGCAGACGTGAAATCTCATTTAATTGATCGCCGATTACCTACTCTCTTACCGTTTATTTGTCTGAAAGTGGTCAAAACAAACAAACTGCAATGACAAACAGTGGACTGGTTCATTTTTGTTGACATTCACAAATGTGATGTGTTGAGGATAAAAAATTCAAAAACAGATGATGGAATTTAGCACTAAAATTATCCACGACTAAAAGTAATTTATGCATGAATATTTCAGTGCCTCCTACGATTGATCCCATGCGGCTTGATATCGGTAATGTATATGACTGGTTCAAAAATCCGGTTCCTTTTCAGGTAGAATCGCTTCTCACTTTTAACAACCTAATTGAATTTCTTGATATTGACTTTGCGGCTCCATAAACACAAAAAAATATAGGATCAGAGGCATTCAAAATGTTTACCCTCATTCTTCTGTGTTGCATGCGTTCTTCTGATGCTGCACTTCGGATCAAAGCTGTATTTTCGGACTGATTTGTTCTGATTGAAGATCATGTCGATATCATGGTATCCTCGTAATTTTACGAATCCGGATTTTATGAATGGTGAACGTTTCTTCCAAATTGCCAACGATGCAATGTATAGTGTTCAACTGGGTTTATATGTTATTGGTTATCGCGAAGGCAAGGACGAATCGGTACTTTGATTAACTTACATTTTGAATTATTATGACTGCGATATGGATCTGACCAGATTGCTGACTTTCTGTTAAGAAAAACGAATGTTTGTAAATGGAATTCATCTATCTCAATAGGTGATCATTTTCATTGATCGAAATATCCCTTCTATTCTCTTCTTTCAGCTGGTGTTCGGGTGATCATGAATATAAAACTTCATTGACATTTCGCTTTGATTGATTACCGCATTTCAGATTCGGAAGTTCCGACCAGAATATAGGACGATTTGTCGGTTGGCAACATTCACAAATCGTAATAATTACCAGTATCGATTCAAACCTCAAGAAGAGCGAATTAATATTTATCAGGTGAAACAACGCATTCGATCAGCGAAATAATCTTTGCCTTCGCAAGAATTTTAGCATCGTGTTGATTTCATCATCATAAATAACACCTTATTGATTAAGGTAGAACAGTGGTATTTGAATGAATGGGAACGAATGAATGAGTTGTACAGTTATCGATTTGGTTACTTAAAACTCTCACCGATCAGGCCAAATGATTTAACTGGAATGAATCTCTTGCCGGGGTATTCAGAAATTATTCCTTATCTCTTTATTTCTTTCTCATTTCACACACTATGAATTAATTCTCTAATCGTAAGTATTTTCTCATCACTACGATTTCGTGCACCAATTTAAAGGTTTCANTTACTACAATCAGTGGATAAGTATCACATGCATAGTTTTTTTTGAGATAAGTATCACATGACTTCGAAGTCGTCTGATGAATTCTTTGGCTGCTTCTCTGAATGGATAATGCATATGTGATGATAAATTCAGTTTGACATCCTCTCCGATATCAATACATTGGTTGTGGCAGCCACTCGAACTAGGCACTGTTGTGACGGGACCGGTCAATGTTCAACAGCAACAGTCAAGAGTTGCTTATGTTGAGGAAAAAGCAACTCAAATGTGTCAAGATTGGTACGCTTCTTCTTTGTTAATGATTTTTTTCAATTCAGTTGTTCATTAACAGTTCAATTCAAATGCTTCTTAATCTGAATGAAAAATGTCGATGTGTACGTTTCATTGTAAATGTCTTTCATAAATGACTTTCATTGTGTACCGTTCATTGTTCAAGGTATGCTGAAGATGGTGCACAGTACAATTTCATTCGATATACCGAAACGAATGCATCATGTCCATGTATCGAAAGTCAAGCTCGCATCGATTTGGGTCGTTTCATGCCGCATCCACGCTGCTCACAGGCATGTTCTAGTTACTGTTATCAATCCGTATTTTGCTTCAATTACCTCCGTTCAGCTGGTCCTCCAGTCAAACAACTTTTAAGTTCTGGATTCATTTAATGACACAAAGAGCATCATTCATGCAAATAAATTAATATACTGCGATTGTTGATTTCATAACCCTGGTTCTCTTGCTTCAAAGTAAAGTAAGCCAGCCACCAATGATCAACTGAGCCGCTGTAACCTATCTCGTTCTGTGTTTTGAGCAATCTGACATATTGAAAAATTAGGAGAAATCTACTGATACTCAACTCAATCGATTCAATGATTTTAAGGTGTTCCGTGATATCTCA